ACATGCATGTTACAACGTAGACAGGGACAACATGGTGTATATAGACATGCATGTTACAACGTTGACGGGGACAACATGGTGTATATAGACATGCATGTTACAACGTTAACTTGGACAACATGGTGTATATAGACATGCATGTTACAACGTTGACGGGGACAACATGGTGTATAAAGACAAGCATGTTACAACGTTGACTGGGACAACCTGGTGTATATAGACATGCATGTTACAACGTTGACGGGCACAACATGGTGTATATAGACATGCATGTTACAACATTGACGGGGACAACATGGTGTATATAGACATGCATGTTACAACGTTGACGGGGACAACATGGTGTATATAGACATGCATGTTACAACGTTGACTGGGACAACATGATGTATATAGACAAGCATGCTACAACGTTGAAAGGGACAACATGGTGTATATAGACATGCATGTTACAACGTTGACAGGGACAACATCGTATATCTAGACATGCATGTTACAACGTTGACTGGGAAAACATGTTGTATATAGACATGCATGTTACAACGTTGACGGGGACAACAGGGTGTATATAGACATGCATGTTACAACGTTGACGGGGACAACCTGGTGTATATAGACATGCATGTTACAACGTTGACAGGGACAACATCGTATATCTAGACATGCATGTTACAACGTTGAATGGGACAACATGGTGTATATAGACATGCATGTTACAACGTTGACTGGGACAACATGGTGTATATAGACATGCATTTACAACGTTGACGGGGACAACATGATGTATATAGACATGCATGTTACAACATTGACGAGGACAACATGGTGTATATAGACATGCATGTTACAACATTGACGGGGACAACATGGTGTATATAGACATGCATGTTACAACATTGACGAGGACAACATGGTGTATATAGACATGCATGTTACAACATTGACGGGGACAACATGGTGTATATAGACATGCATGTTACAACATTGACGGGGACAACATGGTGTATATAGACATGCATGTTACAACATTGACGGGGACAACATGGTGTATATAGACATGCATGTTACAACATTGACGGGGACAACATGGTGTATATAGACATGCATGTTACAACGTTGACGGGGACAACATGGTGTATATAGACATGCATGTTACAACGTCAAGAGGGACAGGAGGGTGTATATAGACATGCATGTTACAACGTTATACAACATGGTGTATATAGACATGCATGTTACAACGTTGACGGGGACAACATGGTGTATATAGACATGCATGTTACAACGTCAAGAGGGACAGGAGGGTGTATATAGACATGCATGTTACAACGTTGACGGGGACAACATGGTGTATATAGACATGCATGTTACAACGTTGACGGCGACAACATGGTGTATATAGACATGCATGTTACAATGTTGACAGGGACAACATAGTGTATATAGACATGCATGTGACAACGTTGACTGGGACAACATGGTGTATAAAGACATGCATGTTACAACGTTGACTGGGACAACATGGTGTATATAGACATGCATGTTACAACGTTGACGGGGACAACATTGTGTATATAGACAAGCATGCTACAACGTTGACAGGGACAACAGGGTGTATATAGACATGCATGTTACAACGTTGACAGGGACAACATGGTATATATAAACATGCATGTTACAACGTTGACTGGGACAACATGTTGTATATAGACATGCATGTTACAACGTTGACGGGGACAACATGGTGTATATAGACATGCATGTTACAATATTGACGGGGACAACCTGGTGTATATAGATATGCATGTTACAACGTCAAGCGGGACAGGAGGGTGTATATAGACATGCATGTTACAACGTTAACAGGTACAACATGGTGTGTATAGACATGCATGTTACAACGTTGACGGGGACAACATGATGTATATAGACATGTATGTTACAACGTCGACGGGGACAACATGGTGTATATAGACAAGCATGTTAAAACGTTAACTGGGACAACAGGGTGTATATAGACACGCATGTTACAACGTTGACGGGGACAACATGGTGTATATAGACATGCATGTTTCAACGTTGACTGGGACAACATGGTGTATATAGACATGCATGTTACAACGTTGACGGGGACAACATGGTGTATAAAGACATGCATGTTACAACGTGGACGGGGACAACAGGGTGTATATAGACATGCATGTTACAACGTTATACAACATGGTGTATATAGACATGCATGTTACAACGTTGACGGGGACAACATGGTGTATATAGACATGCATGTTACAACGTCAAGAGGGACAGGAGGGTGTATATAGACATGCATGTTACAACGTTGACGGGGACAACATGGTGTATATAGACATGCATGTTACAACGTTGACTGGGACAACATGGTGTATATAGACATGCATGTTACAATGTTGACAGGGACAACATAGTGTATATAGACATGCATGTGACAACGTTGACTGGGACAACATGGTGTATAAAGACATGCATGGTACAACGTTGACTGGGACAACATGGTGTATATAGACATGCATGTTACAACGTTGACGGGGACAACATGGTGTATATAGACAAGCATGCTACAACGTTGACAGGGACAACAGGGTGTATATAGACATGCATGTTACAACGTTGACAGGGACAACATGTTGTATATAGACATGCATGTTACAACGTTGACGGGGACAACAGGGTGTATATAGACATGCATGTTTCAACGTTGACTGGGACAACATGGTGTATATAGACATGCATGTTACAACGTTGACGGGGACAACATGGTGTATAAAGACATGCATGTTACAATGTTGACGGGGAAAACAGGGTGTATATAGACATGCATGTTACAACGTTGACGGGGACAACATGGTGTATATAGATATGCATGTTACAACGTTGACGGGGACAACCTGGTGTATATAGACATGCATGTTACAACGTTGACGGGGACAACAGGGTGTATATAGATATGCATGTTACAATATTGACGGGGACAACCTGGTGTATATAGACAAGCATGTTACAACGCTGACGGGGACAACATGGTGTATATAGACATGCATGTTACAACGTTGACGGGGACAACATGGTGTATATAGACATGCATGTTACAACGTTGACAGGGACAACATGGTGAATATAGACATGCATGTTACAACGTTGACGGGGACAACATGGTGTATATAGACATGCATGTTACAACGTTGACGGGGACAACATGGTGTATATAGATATGCATGTTACAACGTTGACGGGGACAACATGGTGTATATAGACATGCATGTTACAACGTTGACGGGGACAACATGGTGTATATAGATATGCATGTTACAACGTCAAGAGGGACAGGAGGGTGTATATAGACATGCATGTTACAACGTTAACAGGTACAACATGGTGTGTATAGACATGCATGTTACAACGTTGACGGGGACAACATGATGTATATAGACATGTATGTTACAACGTCGACGGGGACAACATGGTGTATATAGACAAGCATGTTACAACGTTAACTGGGACAACAGGGTGTATATAGACATGCATGTTACAACGTTGACGGGGACAACATGGTGTATATAGACATGCATGTTTCAACGTTGACTGGGACAACATGGTGTATATAGACATGCATGTTACAACGTTGACGGGGACAACATGGTGTATAAAGACATGCATGTTACAACGTTGACGGGGAAAACAGGGTGTATATAGACATGCATGTTACAACGTTGACGGGGACAACATGGTGTATATAGACATGCATGTTACAACGTTGACGGGGAAAACATGGTGTATAAAGACATGCATGTTACAACGTTGACGGGGACAACATGGTGTATATAGACAAGTATGTTACAACGTCGACGGGGACAACATGGTGTATACAGACATGCATGTTACAACGTTGACGGGGACAACATGGTGTATATAGACAAGCATGTTACAACGTCGACGGGGACAACATGGTGTATATAGACAAGCATGTTACAACGTCGACGGGGACAACATGGTGTATATAGACAAGCATGTTACAACGTCGACGGGGACAACGGGGTGTATACAGACATGCATGTTACAACGTTGACGGGGACAACATGGTGTATAAAGACATGCATGTTACAACGTTGACGGGGAAAACAGGGTGTATATAGACATGCATGTTACAACGTTGACGGGGACAACATGGTGTATATAGACATGCATGTTACAACGTTGACGGGGAAAACATGGTGTATAAAGACATGCATGTTACAACGTTGACGGGGACAACATGGTGTATATAGACAAGCATGTTACAACGTTGACGGGGACAACATGGTGTATATAGACATGCATGTTACAACGTTAGCTGGGATGACATGGTGTATATAGACATGCATGTTACAACGTTGACGGAGACAACATGTGTATATAGACATGCATGTTACAACGTTAAGAGGGACATCATTGTATATATAGACATGCCTGTTATAATGCTGACGGTGACAGGATGTAGTTGGGCATGAATCACACTTTATGTATGCCATAGACAGGCAATGTATTTGTCCTTGTTTGATGTATGTAACGTAAAGGGAAATAGAAAATATGATTCATTCGGTCACTGTGTAGCTTTGCAAATGTGCCATCCTAGTCCTGCTCGTAACACCACGTAAAAAGGTAAAGTAATGTCTCTATAATTCATTTGAAAAGACATAATCGTTTTATATCTCGGATTATGTGTAAGGACAATCACACATGATGGATGCCAAACACCTAGTGTCATCAATGCAATAACAGTAATTGTCTCAGCGATTATATTTCTTCATTTGCCCTCAACACATGACCCTGTGTTGAGAAAACGTCACCAGAATAATTCATGTTTAATGCCAGGAAGTTAATTCTCAATGTCAAGCTCAGTGGGATCTATTAGTTCTTTTATGTTTGTGTTTGAAGATTGATATAAGCAATTTTTTTTTAGGTAACTATCTCTTTGTCGACTTATGATATGCTTCTGTAGGAAACCTTCTTGTCGACTACAGGTTCGAGGATTGACGCATTCAACCATGTGGCACCACAACACCCTCCTTCTGGCAATGTGCGGGCTGGCTCTCACACAATGTACTGGTGAATATATTAAACACCTATCCAACGTATTTATCATATAACTGACACATGTTCGCCGTCACACATGGCATATTTTGAATACACTGGGGCAAACTTTGAAATATCATAATTATAGCAGTGGTTAAATGTCCGACGTGTCAATAAGATGTGAAAAGATATGCTAACTAATCAGTGGTTATGGTAGAGTCTTTATCGTGAATCATGAAGTATTAACGTTTAGTAAGGTATCAGGTCCGAACAAGGAATTAAGTTATCTGGGATAAGTGACCTCTCCAGTTTAATTTGCAACATTAGTTCATCTTTAGATCGGGCCTGAGAACATTAAATAAAAACGATTTAGCACCTCATCGATTCACGCATGCTTAATCTTGGAGACAATAACGTTCGCACTGACTTCATTGTTGCAGCCTTTCCGCCGTGCCAGGATATACATTCCAGTTGTAGAGAGTTGAACTGTCTTCAGCCAGGTATGAACTCTTTCTGCAAGAAGACATGCGGCCTTTGTCCAGAAGGTGAGAGGCAAATCTAAGGGAAGACAGCTGAACTGTTCTCATATCGATAGAGTGTTCTGTGCAATATTCTCAATATTTATACGGTCCATTTATCAACTGCCTATTCCTTTTATCTGGTATTTGTTTTAAGCGACCTGATAATCATTGTTAATATTGAAACATACTTTCCACAGAGTGCAAGTCGGGATATTTCCAGGATGGCTCCTCGTGCAGACAATGCAAGGATGCTGTCGATGTACAGTCAGTCGAATACAAAGATGCATGTGGTGTTCCCTGTAACCAGAGCCACACGTGGGGTGCAGACTGTCTTACTCCATGTCGTACAGGATGCAGGAATCAAAGATGTCACCGGTGGAAAGGGCACTGTCTTCAAAACTGCCTGCCAGGTTACTATGGACCTACATGTGATGTAACTTGTGACACGTGCAGGTCGTGTGGAGACGGTGTTGAGACGTGTGACAATGAGGGGAGATGTCTGTGTGGCTGCAAGAGAGAAAGACGAGGAAACAAATGTGACCAACAGTGTACAAACTGTGAAATGTGTACAGGAAATAACTGTACATGTCAAGAAGGATTTCGGGGTGTGTTGTGCACAGAGACCTGTGTGAACTGTCAGAGTTGTAATGGAGACAGTTGTACATGCAAGGCTGGATTCCATGGAGATGGCTGCACCGCCCCCTGTCCCCTGCACTGCCTCTATAACGTATGTGGTCTGGAAGGAGGGTGTACACAGGGATGTGAAGTAGGGTGGTATGGACGTTTGTGTGAAAAACAGTGCAATAAATGTGTCGACGGAAGTTGCTCATTGAACGGGATATGTACATCCGGGTGCAATAGCGGATGGTCTGGTGACAAGTGTGACGAAGCCTGCAATGTCAACTGTGAGGACGAACTGTGTTATCGTAACGGAACCTGTAAAAGATGCAAACCCGGTTTCCATGGAGACCAATGCAACATCCACTGCAGCAGTCACTGTAGTAACCAGAGATGTGACAGGAGTGGAACTTGTGAATCTTGCAGAGTTGGACACTTTGGGGAAATGTGTGATCGACATTGTGGGTCCAACTGTATGAATCATGCCTGTGAACAAATGTCAGGAAAGTGTATTCAAGGCTGTACCACAGGCTGGTACGGAGATACGTGTCATCTGGAATGTTCCGACCAATGTGCCCCAGAGTCCTGCCACAGAGAGACTGGTTCCTGTAAGTCTTGTATGCAGGGATTCAAAGGCTCCCACTGCAACGCTTCGTGTCCACAGTTCTGTACTAAATGTGAACAATATGTTGAAAAATGTCTCTCTTGTCACCAACAACATTTCGGCAAGATGTGTGACAAACTTTGTTCATCCGGATGTAATGGAGGCACATGTCACCACCAAACTGGAATATGTTCACAAGGATGTACTGGAACTTCCTATGGCCATTACTGTAACAATTCGTGCAGTGATCACTGTGTCAATAGAAACTGTCATACAGTTAACACTGATGTAGATACGCCCCAATGCACTGAGGGGTGTGAAGACGGATGGTGGGGGTACTACTGTGACAACACGTGTCTACAGCACTGTGTGAGATGTGACAGACATCATGACCAATGCCTGGAGTGTGTAGCCAACAGATACGGCGAGTCCTGTAACTTGACCTGTAACACTGGCTGCCTGAAGTCGCAGTGTAACATGACAGGAGTCTGTATAAACGGGTGTGAGGACGGGTTTTATGGAAGCAGGTGTTCTTGAACATGTCCCATGGTGTGCAACACATGTATATATGATGGTGCCTGCCTTACTTGTGCTGATGGCTGGACGGGAGAACACTGTCATGGTAACAAACGCATTCGCATATAAACACTTGTATTGGTTATTTATAATTGAACGCCATAACAACTCACTATGTAATCCCTAGTGGTGGTTCCACGTAAGAATGTGTCCCCAGTGATGTTTGTTTCATGACGACTTACTGGATTGGTTCGTCAAGTATGGCGACTTACAGCTTTTATAGCGTGTCATTGTATCGTCAACTCGAGTCATTGCAACAGGGAACTCATTCAACAGATTCTGGTACAGGCCTTGATTGTTGTGATAGATTAGCATTAACGTCTTACTTGTGTGTTATTTCACTCATTATGGAAACGCTTAACGTCAGCTAAATATTGTCATGGAAATGGGTTTTCTTAATAGTTACCTGGTTGCAGGTGTGGCAGCAGTTTTCTGTGCAGAGTTGCTTCCCGTGGGCACGCCAGAAACCTTTGATCGTGGGTTCGCATCCCGATTCGCCCCGATTATGTTTCTATGTTTGTCAGCACCATACCCATGCTTGTGGGTTTCATCGAAGTGGTATCCCTTCGGGCTTTCGTCCCACATTAAGCGGATACGCCGTGATATAAACTGGAACACCGATCAGCCCACTCACCCACTCACTCATAATTACCTAAGAAAATTTTTTGCGTCCTTGTCCGTATTTTCAGAACAAAGTTCACATCGTCGCCAGACATGGATCCTTTCTGCTGCGGTTGTCGTTTTGGTCTCTCTTGTTATCATCATGGCCGTGCTCTTCCTTAAGCGGTAATAGTACATTTCTCAAACGATTGGGAATAAATATCTGAATAAAAATAAATAGGATATTTAAACTTTGACAGTAACTGCACTTCTTAATAAGAGCTAAGGGATGGTCAGGGAGCCTTGTGGTTAGGCGTTCGCTCGTCACGCTGAAGACCTGGGTTCGATTCTCGACATGGGAACAATGTGTGAAGCCCATTTCTGGTTTCCCCCGAATATTGCTTGAATATTGCTAAAAGCGGCGTAAAACAAAACTCACTCACTCACTCACACTAACGCCGGTATTTATATGGTGTTGTCGTGATTGTCTAATGTGCCGTAATTCCAAGTGCTGAGTTGCGTCCCTTAGTACCGCTAGAAACCTATGATCGTTGGTCCGAATCCCAAATTCTCCCTGATTATGTTTCAATGTGCTCATGGTAAATTTCTTAGAATTTCGTATAGAGGTCATCTTTTATTTCAAATTTTAAAAACTTATGTTTAGTTGATCGGAGAATGTATTAAATACCATACATATGCGTGTTACTTTGCGCTTCAAAAACATGCATGTTATTTCTTTGTAACTTGTAGGTACGCAGTGAACGCTTCAGGTGGGATATACATATCACCTGTACAAAACGATCTGGAATCAAGATCCGATGACATCTCGCTGGAAGAGCTTGGTGGGTCACGTGACAGTGATTACCGACATTATGAAATGATTCAATCATCGGCTGGTACAGATGAAGATGACGATTCGCCTGATGTAGTTGAAGCTGCAGATCAGAGACGCTATGAGACGCTGGGGCCATCCGATGACGCCACACGGTACACACATCTGGTGTCATTTGTTGATTAGATTCAGGCTTGATTGAAATACATTCTGTATGTGTATATGCTGTATGTATACCTTTGCACTTTAAAACTTTAAAAAGTAATTGGTTGCATGGATGTGTCGTGTAGTGTATTATGATTACAAGATGTCTCTTTTTAGCGAGCAGATTATGTTTGTGCAAAATGTGACACACTCAGCAGTTAGAAATATGCTGCTTTGTTTGTTTCGTTACTTGGCGTGTGTGCAGTTATCTCCCTTACACTGCATTTGCTTAAACTGGAACTTCCGGTTTCAATCAAATAACCTCCTGGTTTCAGTGTGGCTGGTTTGGGGCTATCGACTTCCTTTTCAGTTGGCTATCTCTTGTATCATATACCCTGTGATATATCACTGAACTATTCAGAAAATATATTTACCCTTCTTTACATTACAACTATTCACAATTCTACATGTTGTGAACCTGTACACAAGACCTTATTCTGTAAAATTCAGAAAATATATTAACCCTTCTTTAAAACTGTACACAACACGTTATTCTGTACAAAATTACACTGGCGTGTCCAAACGCGAGGCGCTGTATAATCCTTGGTATTTTGTCAGCACTCTGTAACTAATCTGTCAATGCAGTGTCATATACTGTCAATTGTTTCAGTAAATGTATTGTTACCTGTAACTCACATTTTGATAATTGTGTATTAATATTTATGTTGTCCAGGAAATCCGAATAATGTGTAATCTTTTAATTCTGAGTCACCCTGAATCAGGCATCAGTATAGGTGAGTGAATGAGTTAGATTTAACGCCGCTTTGAACAGTATTCCAGTTATATCACGGCGTGTCAGCTTGATATGGGATAGTGATGCAGGACGTTTACCACTTTGGTGAAACCCCAAGCACGGTATGGTGCTGACAAACCCGGACACGGGACGAGCCCAGATTCGAACCAGATTCTGGCGTGCCCAAGGGACGCAACTCTGCACAGCATGTAGGAGCCAGTCTGGACTTCCGACCTACGCCTGACATTATGCCATTATGATTCAGACATCCAACAGCGTTCTCCTTTTAGTTCTTGTACAGTTATCTCCCTTACATTGCGCCTCCAAACAGATATAGAATTTTGGTTGTCAAATTATCCTTCATTTTATTATCTGAATTATCGTTTTATTATGTGGAATTCATCATGGCTGTTTGTATAGTATCCATATTTTTTCGGGCTTCCCTTCAATCGAATTCTTTTTCATGAAATGCTCTGAGGCCACAAATATTTTAGTAACTTTAGTAACGTTGTTCACAAATCCAAATGTTTCATGAGCTGTTAACGCTCTTCTGTGCAAAATGACACGGGTTACCCAAACACCCATGTTCAATCCCCATGTTATTGTTTATTGTCGGACTTGGGTATATCTGTACATTGACCTCTGTACTGTGTATATATGCGCAGCTTATGTAAATAAAATGTCCGTGAAGTCCCCATTGTCTGCTTTGTCATCAATTACTGCATACATAGAAAAAGCACAGTAAAGTTCTAACTCTCAGGCACAATATAGTAATAATTAAATAAGTGGAGTAAGTTTGAACACAGTTTCAGGCCATAACTGAATAATAATAATATATGTATACATACATACCAAAAAACAGAGTCCAGATATTCGTGCTTGTAAAAACTCCTTTATCCACACAAGACATGAAATCACTTGTTTACATACATACATACATACATACATACATACATACATACATACATACATACATACATACATACATACATACATACATACATACATACATACATACATACATACATACATACTAATGGGATCGGATGGTCAGTCTCGCTGACATGGTTGAAGCATGTCATCGATCCTAATTGCGTGGATCGATGCTCATGATGTCAATCACTGGATTGTCTGGTCCAGGCTCGATTATTTACTGACCACCCCCTCTAATTTAGTCGCCTCTCACGACCAGCACGAGAGTACTGGGACCTAGTCTAACGTGGGTCATAACAGTGACCTTGGAAATGAATATCGAAACAGTTTCTTACTGTCTGTACAGCTAAATGAACATAAGCGACAAAAACAGTTACATGTTCATGAGCCTATTCATTACTACAGAAGAAGACTACTACCTTGTACGATTCCGACTGTATCAAAAGTATGGTTCCGACTGTATCATATGAATCACTATAAAATAGTGATGATACCGGGTGTTCGCGAACGAGTGAGCGTATCCTGCCTCGTCGGTAGCACCTACACTCTTTGAAATTTTCGTAGAAAGAGCATGCTCGATTGTATCTCAAAAGTTGTGAAATGTAGACACCAAAGGCTTGAATATTGCGCGGCAAAAAGGGTAAATTGACCATTGGCAAGTTGAAGTCATCCCTCTTGTCATACAGTCTTGTGGAGAGTTTTTGTCACACTGAATCTGAATGCATAGGGGGCGGACGGGTAGCCTAGTGGTTAAAGCGTTCGCTCGTCACGCCGAGGACCTAGGTTCGATTCCCGACACGGGTACAATGTGTGGAGCCCATTTTTGGTGTGCCCAGTCGTGATATTGTTGGAATATTGCGAAAAACGGCGGAAAACCAAACTCACTAACTCACGCACTGAATACATAGATCTAAATATGAAACAGATGAGTTATTTTTCACTGGTTTCTTTTATTTCAAGTTCAGTTGGGATCAGAAGGGAATTGGTTATCTGATGGTTATTGAACTAAAGTTCAACTTCTTGGTCTAATTCCCTTGAATTTAATTTGCCAATCTGAGCAGACATTCCGATTCATAATCATTAAGAAAAAGATCAATTATGAGGGTAGCACAACCGGGAGGCCTACTTCTTGCCTAAATGTCTTAGCCCAAATTTTACAATTATGTTGTCAGTGAGGATGTTCAGCATTGCACATTGTGTTTTCTCTGTAAACTTCAGATGACATTGGCTTTCATTTTTTACAAATTGTCCTGAATTTCTGAAGATAACTATGTAACTATATCTATTATCGCCATGTTTGGTAACAAATGCCCAATGGATCAAGGAATGAAGTATTCCCTTAAATTTGGGATAGCGGTGTACTAAGCTGAAAAATTTAATGTTTTGACAGAATTGAACTTTTCTGAGATTGCCAAAAAATCAGGCAAATCATTTAAGCTTTTGAGAATTCACATGGTATTATTTCAACCTGTCTCAAATATTTTTGTGTGTGAATTTAAAGAAAGTTCTTCCTTGATTGGTTAGCGATTGTGGTTAATCTTTGAAACAGGAATTTTATTGGTACATTTGCACCAAGAAGCCTGAGGATGACACTTTGTGGAATGGCAGTCCATTCTTCCTGAAGAACTTGGCGTAATTGTTGCTGATGCTGTGGCCCAG